AAACTATTTTCCCATTTCAATTTGTCATTAACTCTTATAGTTTTTCAACGATTTACTTGAAATTTGTTGGTGTTTTTTAGCTTCAGAGATTGTCATATACAAAAATGTACATTTAAAATTATTATGGGATAGTAACTAACGTCATGCTTGAGTTATCAGTACTGGCAAAAATCTATCTATGACATTGAACAAGTAGTATAATGCTTTTCATGATGATTAACTGATTCAGAGGTGTACTTCACTAGAATAAGGTTTAAGATCTTTTTTGAATCTTGATGGAAACCATCCATAGGATGTATGAGTAACCCATCGCAATATCAAAGAAAGACAATTTATAGTAGAGTGATTGGAGAAATATCAAGTTGACTATTATCCCTGATAAAGTAATCTGCATTCTCAGTATTGACAGAAATTTGTCTACAAAGTTTGATAATATAACCACTATTCAGTAATTTCAAACAAACATAGACACTTAAAGATGAGAGTGTTAATCTATGAGAATCATAAATTCCCTCTGTGCCTCAAATACGCGTATATGGTATGTTGCAAACTGTTGAACTCAAATAAAATTTATTCTATATTAGTGTAGAATATGAACATTTTAGCATTACAAGCAATCAAAACTGAAATGATCCCTATCCGATATTGCATAGTCTTTTTGGACTGTAGGTATACAATAATATCAAACTTTAATATTCTTAAAGCGAGTAACTTTTACTTAAACAAGTAAACTATTTCTATCAATGTCTTACTCAGAATGTTCGCCTTTATATTGAGAATCAGTCATTTTCTAGAAGCCAGTCTACAAGTATCCGAAGTAGTTCTTTGTTTCATCAGTAGCAACAACTTATATATATTTTAATAATTTTGATCAGTGAAACAGGTTATGAGTTGGTATTTATGTAGTAACGTCTTACTTTGAAGGTAACCTGGCCAACAATGGACTGGATGGTTATACGTATATTTCTGCCTTAAATTTCATAGAAATTTTCAAATATTTTTACCACTTAGTTATTTCTATGCTAAACAGTGTTTTCTTCAAGAAGAGATGTATTTTCCATATGAAATATTCTTTCATTACATTACACATTCAACTTTTGTCAGTTTAGAGTGAGTTTTAAGGCCACCCTAGCAACTATCGAAATAACCGATTAGACATCTTCATTTCGGTAGGAAAGGCAAATTTTCGTAACATAGAGAAGTCTGATTGGTTATTCCAGCTGTTGTTAGGGTGGCCTTCAAAGTAACTCTCACTTAGACTTCTCTGTATTACAAAAATCTATCTTTCCAGCCGTTCCTAGGGTGGCCTTCAAAGTCGCCCTCTCTCTGTTTGACGTCTTATATCTAGTACAAAACCCATAGTACTCTAATATATAGCGTCACTTGTTTGAATACATACATTCGAGGCTTGCTCTTTGGGAGTTTTGTCGATAATTAGAAATTATAAGGCACACCGGTAACCAAATTATGCATATCATTTGGTTATTCAGGGTGTCAGTTATCGCTTTGATAGGTTAAAAGGTAAGGTCATTACTTCACTACTGATTGCTGCATATCCCAATCACACTATCATGGTTACGCATTAACTTCTAACCCATAGACTCGTGAAATTTAACAGTAGATATCTGATTTATTGTACATGTGAACTAATGTCGTACTAGTGAATAAATTTCTTAGTAATGGTGAACTGTCACTAACAGTACACGTGTTTTTCATCCTATCTGCAAATCATCACCTGAATGTTTCCGTTACCGAATCATTATTCCAAACTTCAGAGAATTATACATTATGCAACTGAGTCACGATATATTTTTCTTAGTAGATGTAGTATTTTGTATTTTACTGGATAACATTTTGAGAACAGTTAAATTGTGCCTAGTTTTCTAAATTGTGATGTAAACAGTATCTCATCAATCATAATTTTTTTGTTATCCTTTACTTTAAACACACTTATACAATATGCAGTAATACTCTACCACACTTACATAAGTGAAATGAGAAAAATTGTAAATTACTTACGAGCGACTTTAAAGGTTACCCTATCAACTGCTGAAATAACCGACCAGAAAGGTAGTTTTTTTCATAAATTAGAATAGAGGAAAGTAATTGGTTGTTTTAGCAGTTGCTAAAGTAGTTTTTTATAGCTGACTACTACAGCTAATGGTGGATCGTGGCTAGTAGTGGAATCCAGGATGTGTATTTCGTCCTGTTTGGGACTCGTCAGTTGGATGTACCTGCCTCCCAGTGAGCGATGTTGCTCCCACCGGGACTCGGGCCCGGGAGAGATCGCTTCAAACGCTAGAGCGTTATTCACTACACCACCGAGCCAAGATAGCCACTTCTTGTGCGACGGGTATAGTTTTTAGTATAATTGTTTTTATATGATACCGTCGTTGATTGGACCGAATGGATCGGTGTCTATTAGCATATAGGCTCCTGTGCGGATGCCTCGATGTTGCCAGTAATCTAATTATGTTAATGATGGATTGTGGCTAGCAGTGGAATCCAGGATGCGCATTTCGTCCTATTTGGAACGACGGTATCATATAAAAACAATTATACTGACTACTACAGTGTCTAAGGTGGGAGACAGTGATGTATGGATGAATACAGGTTGTGATTCAAGATACTAAAACATCAGGATCCAATGAAATATTATAGTGAACTGCATTAACATCGTCAAACCTTCCATACGCGCCTATATATTTTGTTTAGCAAACTCTGAGTGATCAAGACAGTGGGGTAGTTTCTGTTGTTCGAGTCTAGCCGATTACTGTTGCATAAGAATACATTTAACCATAACACTTTTCCAGATTTAGATGAAAATAGCAGTTTACTTATTTGTGCGTAATCAGTTTCAGTTTATCACCAGTGCTTTCAGCCGCATGTAAATAGATAAAACAACTTTAGTCGGGATATTGACTCCAAAGTTTGGTGGTGAAGATTTTTAAATCCTCATCCGGAAGAGTGTATATCCATTAGTATTCTAGTTGTAATGTTTAGGATTGTAACTACAGTAATTTATGCTTTCATCAAACAGTTGAATTGATGGTGATATATGTTTGTCACAGAACTGCACTCACCAGATTTCATCTCATATGTTAGGCTTGTATGTCTAACATAAATTAGAAATTTTTGTCGTCACCATAGTATTTATAAATCGATGTAATATGAATTATATTTAAGGCTTGTCAGTTTGATAATCGTTTAAACGAAGTCAGGTTGTTTCGTTGCTAAGCTCTCAAATAAAACTACGTTGGCTACCGATAGGTTTTAACTCTATGGTTGGTCACAGTATAAACATCACGATTACATACACTGCCTCTGTTAATGTTACAGTTTGGCCTGATTTAGGGCATTTACAAAGCAGGCCATAGTGAACACCGTTCATGTCCCTGCTTTAAATGCGAAGGGGAAAGGGAAATCAGCTCCACAGCAGATCGTAGTTGATTATCATGTGTGAACATACACAAGTCAGTTGAACTGATCAGCAACATCAACATCTCACTAGGATTTTAGTCGATAAAATGGGACATCATCAACTCAAGTTGAATTATAATTTACTTAAATGAGATTTGCCGATGAATCTGTAAACTACCATCAAACTGGTAATGTATCTCATGGATATCTCTTTATGAAACAACGTCAGCTGAAAAGCATGCTGAAAATACCATTTATTTGACGGATACTGTATTCTAGTTCAGAAATCAGCAAGGCTGATCCACTATTCGACTAAGAAATGGGATTCAGAACGTTTCAATCATGTCTACATTACACTGTCATCATTATTGCATAACGTTATTCAATGATGCTTCAGTTGACACTAGTTCACGTCATAGTTGTAGGATATTTTTTAACAGACTCAGTTCCTAGACTCCTGATCATTACAGTAGTAACTTTGCCATAGTTTGAAACTGTCTCAGTCGATTATGCCAACTTTGAGTGGTGAAATAAACTGGCATTAAGATAATTTTTTTCGTTACTAAAACCTTAGCTTTTAGGTGTAAAACTTGGGCACTGTGGTAGAATTTAATTCCATATTAGATTTGTTTATTTTATTTATAACACACAGTGTGATACAATATTATTTACTTGATGACGACGTTCCCAGCATAAATTATTATTCCTCATAATCATATCAATGTGTAATCACACTCCCTTCTACATCTCACCTTTATAGTCCTGTCATCCACCTCATATTCTTTGTTTTATTGGTAGTAAAATTTTCTGTATCTCTGGTATAACTGTTGCCTCATTTCTGTTACGTGTGTTGCGTGTTGATTCGATGAACAAAGATTCTGCAGTCAATCTCTCTCTCCACGTACTTAAGTACAGTGGTTCTATCGTACCCACCTTATTGTGTAGTTGTGTGTTAATGCATGCATTGCAATAGCCAAGTGGTTTTCCAGATTATTTATCTTATTCATGTCTTTCATTCTATACTTAGCTATGTTCCACTTTTCTAACTGACCCCAACCAGCTAGTTTGACCTATGTATTTGACCTTACAGTCATTACATGAAATTTGATAGATTCGATTATTTTACTTTAATTGGTTCTATCGGTTTCTTAAGCCAGACACCAAAGCTAATCTCTGAGTAAGTTTGTAGGTTTAAATGCTACCTTAATTCTAGCTTTGTTGAGGATCCTATAGAAGGTTTTTGATATACCTTCCTTATAGGATAACACAATGCAGGCTATGAATTCTTTCCTACTTGTGTTGTCGTTATTATTTGTACTCCTGTTACTGTTATTTCTTCGTGTTCGTAAGAATTTAATAAAATGAAGAGGATAATTATATACTATTAGTGGTACGTGTTTCAATTCCCGTCTAGGTCCTTGCACTGACTAGTCAGTTTTCTAGCTCTATCACTGAGACATTTGACTAAACCTGCCTTAACTGAGATTGCATAGGATGACTTGAAGTTCCTAAAAGTACCCGTCTAACTAAGTTTAAGTATGCAGCTATATAAATGTTCATCATTTAGAGGATTCACTTACTTGTATCATCTTGTTCTAACGTTGATTGCTGCAGCACTTCATGACATGGCTCCATTTTATTATGCTTCAGATTATTTATCATTGATAAAACCCAAGAATTAGTCTACAAATATGCAAAACAGAAATATAACTAAATGTAGATCAAATTTTGAGGGGGTTGTGGAGATTTGGAAATATTTTAAGTTGTTATTCATCGAAGACTGACATCAGTTGGAGGAACAAAGGAAACCTGGGAGCACTGGACAGCTGTTTCGTCCTAGTATGGGACTGCGCACTGTTGAGGAGTCCCATACTAGGACGAAACAGCTGTCCAGTGCTCCCAGGTTTCCTTTGTTCCTCCAAATGATGTCAGTCTTCGATGAATAACAACTTTAAATGTAGATCAATAAAAAGTGCACAATTTTGTTGATCATCATGATCAACTGAGTTCAACTCATCCTTTTATTGTATAAATTGCTTGTTACTTGTCAATTTTCTGACATAATCTTTTGTTTTAAATGCCAAAACACTTTCTTACTATCCATATTATTTGAATGAAACTTCTTAGAATGTTTTGTTAACTTCATGTTGACGTAATATACCATGTCAATTCGTGTTAATTAACTTTATCTAATTATGAGATATTTAAAATAATTTAGGTTGTAAGTTGCTGATGAAGCACTAGTGAAGTGGTTCCATGTTATTCTACTCTAATTGTTTTTCTTTCTCTATTCACTTCATTAAACCGGAATTTGAGCATGAAAAGTAACTTGTCATGCATCCAGACCAAGAAGTGTAATTTTCAAAAGTAATAATCTCAAAGAATTATCCCACCTTTAAGTCAAACTTGCTTTTCATGGATGATGTAATGAAAATAATTATACAGTTAGTTATTTATGAACAATGAAAGCTATATAGTTGATCACAGAAGGAAATCAGGTAAAGAAGCAGAGGGAAGCAAGGAGCACTTGACGTCTACTTCATCTTAGTCAGAGACTTCTCAACAGTCAGTCTGCAAACCTTCATGTGTGACTTCAAATTCCAACACATAGGCTGGTTGGTGATATGTTCACTGAGAAAGCCTACAGCTCCAGGCGAGTGCGAACTACTTAGAAGTTTTAATGCAAGATGAAACAACTGTTGAATGTTCGCTGGTTTTCAGCGATCCCGTAGATTATATCGATCTGTGATGAATACTTCCAAACCAATCAGTCTACCACAAAACTTCCGATTGCATGAGTGAGAAACTGTTTTCAATAACTTCTTTGTCAGTTGAGAAATTTTGAAGTTCATGAAAGTTATTATAAAATTATCTTTTAGATATTATGTTGGTGGATAATGACAAAAGTTCTTAAGAAGCATGAACATATGAGGAAGTTTAAGACTCAGAAATCTTCATGTGTTTCACTGTCATAGAAGGCGATTTTGACCAAGTATTTTTGAAAAATAAGAATTCCCCACTATTTTTTGATGATGATTATACATTTAAGTGGTATATTCTCCTTTGAAATTTTAATGTTATTGTTCTTTAGTGATACCTGTAACTTTTTGTTGTTACCTATATTGATAAGTGGGTTCCTATGCGGATGTTTCGATACTGTTCGAACACTCATTATGTTTTGATCATTTATAATCATTATTTTCTGCTTGTCAATCCTCATTAGCCTAGTGGATAATACTTTCGGGTTTGAAGCGATGGATACTGGGTTCGAATTTCAACTGGAACGACATCACTTACTGGAGAACAGATATATCCAGTTGATGAATCTCAAACGGGACGAAACACATGTTCTGGATTCCACTGCTAGCCATCAATTAGGCTACAAAACAAATGTTAATACACTGATTTCTTTCTGATAGTATACACTACTGTTAGTTTGAATATTTCATTTGTAGTTTTTTTGAGCGGGAAAATATATACTTCCATTGATGTAAATACTTTCTTCAGACTATCCATGAAGCTTATATACTTAGATAAGAGATCACGATCATGTGTGTCACATTTTAACTTAGTGAATGATCGTATCCAGATAACTGAACTTTGTTCATTCTACAATTTTGCTGAATAGGTACTAAGAATACAAGTGACACTTGGATGATGAAGCATATTGCCTTTTGAAACTGATGAAGCTTTATCTTTTGTTATAAAAAAAAAGGTGAATTTTAATGAGCAGTAATTTTACTTAGTTCTGAGATCAATAATTGGATCTCAATATGCTACTGTTAACCTCACGCTGGAATGAATTAAATTCAGAATAAATTCATAAGCACAACAAAGGTTGTAATTTATTTAGTACATCAAACTTTCCTCTGTTCAGTTGGAATTATTTGTCGTATTCAGTACACTAAAATAAGTAATCTGCTTTACTTCCTCTACATCTCATCTCCTACTTCTACTTTCTTTGTAGATTTCTTATTAAGATTTGTCACTTGCATAACAACACGGTAAGGTAATAAGTTCTAAGACATTTACAAGTCTTAATCAGTGAACAGAAAGGTCCCCGTCAATATTTTCACGGGAAAACGCTGAGCAAAACGTGGGGGCTACTTTTCAAACATAGGGCAAATTCTGGGGAAACATGGAGTATTTCGCGGGGGAATAAAAGTGCAGGGTAAACACGGGGCAGAACTCGGGGAAATGTTACACAATCCTGCGTTTCCCCCCATGTTTTGCCCCAAGTTCTGCCCCGCATTTCCATTACAATCTGCAACATGCCCCCTTGTTTTGCTTCGCACAAAGGTTTAAAGGTATCTTTAAACCCAGACTCGGAAATAAATGAAAGCAAAAGAATTTATCAAGCACTTTAACTCAAAGCTAAAAATGCAAAAACGATGGAAGCTATAATTTACGTGGTGGCTAACAATGGAAGCTAAGACGCTTTTTTCATTGTCTTTGGGACTTGTCAGCTGGATGCATCTGCACCCCTGTGAGTGATGATATTTCCACTGAGATTTGAACCCAGCACGCTTCACTTTTAGCACCAAAGCGTTATCCAATGGCCACTGAGGCAAGGGAGCCACCTCTTGTGCAACATGTTCCAGTTTTACATTGATAATTGCAGTTTCCCTTTGCTGTACTGTGTCGAATTCGTCGACCTTTGTTGGTATACGGCCTCTCATGCGCATGCTTCGATATTTCCTGATTATCTCATGATTTGCTTAGTGGTGGCTAGCAGTGAAATTCAAGACATGGCTTCCATCCTGTTTAGGAATTATCGGCTGGATAATGAATAATGAGACAATCTCGAGCTATCCACATCTGAGCCTACATGTCAATGGAGGTCGTTCCAGAATAACAACGGGAATGTTTTCCACTCAGTTCTTTCTGATTCTTCATAACTTTCAGTTTTATTGATCATCATAATGCGGAGAAATTACGGTTTATGCAGGAACTGCATGTTCGTATAACTAAAATGACTTCTTTGGGAGATACTTTCATCACAGACTCATAGCAGTGAATAATCTTTCACAAATGAGGACCGATGGATAGCCAATCACTTCTAGTTTGAAAATCAACAAGAATATACACCCTCAAATGATATCAAGACTTACACCTGACTGCCATTGTAGTGTCTCTCTGCTGTTCATTAAAAACTAAATCAAGTACCGAATTCTTACAAAGTAAAATCAATAATTTTGTGTATACTGACATCAGGTGTTCAGGAAGTTATGCACAGAAAACAGAGGAAGACTACCATGGTACGTCATGACATAACCACTTATTGAAAGAGTAGATTAGTGTTTTTTTTTAACTTAAAGTTCGATCCGCAATATGTTTCTCATGAGCTTCCTTTTCATTCTCTTAAGGAGTCCTGGACCAGACAAAAAATGTTGCGCCTCATCAACTTAGTCTAGTAATAATAACCATTCTCAACTAATTAATACGTTAAATCATTCAGGAAATACTTCCATAGACAATGATTTATACAAGGTGAACAGATAATTCGGCTACATGCAAAACGATGCAACTGATGTTATTTTAGTTTGTCCATCATTCCACTTACTGACTTGCACTTGAATGTGTCTGCTATTGCAGCATATGATAGAAACATACTGTCATATAGCCTGTTTATCTACTCTTGTGGTTTCAACCAAGATCGCCTTAGCTCAGCAATCTTAATTGTACAGAAATGTATTTCGATATGAGTAGGGATTTTAATTTCGAGGTAGTATTCATCACAGATTGATATCAGTGAGAGAACCATTGGGGAACTGGGAGCACCGGACAACTATTTCGTCCTAGTATGGGGCTCTTCAGCAGTATTCACCCACCACCCGGCTAGGGACCGATGTCATGACCTTCAGGTTTCATGGCGAACACGTTTAACCATCTAGACACTGGGTGAGAGTTCAGTGGTTCAGAGTTTCCAACTTCGTGGATTCGCAATATTGCGCGACTATCACACAAAGTATTTAGTTTGTATCCTATTCCATTCCGACTGGTTGACCCTACAGTTCACATCTCACTAGGACTTTGTGATATCCATCTGGAAGTATATCATTAATGAGCACTATACAGTAATGTGTTTTTGAGATAAACAGGACTAATTTTGAGGTAGTATTCATCACTGACTGACATCAGTTGCAGAACCATTGAAAACCTGGGAGCAGTGGACAACTGTTTCGTCCTAGTATAGGACTCTTCAGCTATCCAGTGCTCCTAGGTTTTCAATGGTTCTGTCACTGATGTCAGTCTATGATAAATACTACCTCTTAATAGTGCAGAGTTATCAACTGAGTTTCTTTAATGAGACATTGATGCGCAGTCTAGATGTGTTAAATAAGGTATTAAAGTTTAAATTTGGATAAAATATAATAACCAAACTGTGTTAAACTTATACTTACCAACTGATTCATATATTGCTCTTGAAATGTTTGCATAATGTCTTGTAAATCAATTGTGTTAGATCCAGTTACTTCATTACTTCTATTGAACATTGAGCTATCATCAACAGGTCTGTTGGCCAATTTACTTTCGGTTGATAAATGCTTTAAGAATGTCGTCAGATTATTCAACTGGGTATTTAAATGTTCTGAGGTAATCTTTTGATAATTACTATTGGTGTGCATTGGATTCGAACTTAAATACGCTTTCATATAAATATCCACTGGAGTGAGTCATTTTTCGTCACTAAATGACCGGTTCATTTTATTTAATTCAGAAATGAGGAGAACACCGAGATTTTAATTAAGAACTCTGAGAAAAAGATTCCCCCTCTCGCTTTGCTTTCAGTTTTACGTGGTGTCTTAACTATAACATTGCTTCCCCCACCATACATATACACATCCTGATATCCCTTTTTCTTCCACCACCTCCTCTTCTCCTATCTTTTCCACTAATAGATTCTTTTCACTTAGTGTAAATCATTAAATGTGTTCAGATTTAATTTCTTCTGTCAACTAAAGAATTTAGCAGGTTGAACTACATAAACCAATCAAATATTTCCTAGAAGATGAAATTTATTTGTTTCTCTGCCTATCTTATTGGTCACATATGTGGATACAGTTATTTATTGAAACTGTCAAGGGGATAAGTGCCTTACTTTCGTCTCCCTACAATAGAAACTTCGCTTAAATGAATTTTACCTCATTGATTGAATATTTTTATCTTATCAGGAAAATTATTTCTATCCATCATTGGTAAGATATGGAGATTATTTGCAGCGAAAACGAGTTAATATGATACTATTTAAAACTTTATTCAGTCCTGTAAAATATCAGTCGTGACAAGAATAACTTGTTGATAATATGATGAGGATTAGAAGATTTCGTGATATTGATCATGGACAGATCTGGACAGGTGTTCAGTGCTTCTTAGTTAACTATGGTCCTCCAACTCATGTCAGTCCGCAGTGAATACCATCGAAGAAATCATACAGTCCCTACAAACCTCTAAACTGAATCTTGGAAATGTACTTTTGATGAGTACTTCAAAGCAATAGCTAATGTTCGCATTTCATTACACAGCAGAAAAGAAAGTAATTGAAATCTCTTCAAATTCATTAAGCCATTCTTATGCGGTTCATAATCACAGTTGCTGGCTCTTACCATGCTTATTGGAAAGTTTGAAGATCAGTTTTCTTATCTCTAGACACGTCTTACGGAAGAATTATCCACTAAAAATTTTTCAATGTTCACCAGATGTAAAAAGGTCTTAATTCTAAGCGCATTGACAACAGCTTTTGGAGATTTAGGTTGATAGATATGCAGCTTCATGCATTTCTGACATTACACATGATACAGTAATGATGGCAGTGGCTAGCAATGGAATCCAGGATGGGCATTTCTTCCTATTTGGGACTCGTCAGTTGGATTCGGACTCGGGAGCGATCGATTCAAACGCCAGAGCGTTATCCACTACACCACCGAGGCACGATAGCTACTTCTTGTGCGATGGGTATAGTTTTACTGTTATTGCTTGTATGACACCATCGTTGACTGGACCGAATTGATCAACCTCTGTTAAGTGACAAATAATTTGTTTAAGCTTATATTTATCAAGTACTGACGTCAGTTGTAAAACCACTGGAAACTTGGGAGAACTGGACATCAGTTTCCACCTAGTATGGGACTCCTACAAAGTACGCACCCACAACTCCACCAGGGATTGAACTAAAGGCCTTTGGGTCTCATATCGTACACGTTGATTCGTACGCCACAAAACACTTGATGAATAACCATAGCTATTTCTGAACTTATGATAATTTGGCTGGTTGTGGCTAGCTGAAGAATCCAGGACGCAAGTTTCTTCCTATTTGGGACTCGTCAGCTGGGTGTACCTGCACCCCAGTGATGTTGTTCCCACGGAGACTGGAACCTCGTACCCATCGCTTCAAAACCCAAGGCGTTATCCACCATGCCACGGAGGAACGATGGCCACTTTTTGTATAACGGTTAGTAGTTATAAATATTTGTTGACATACTTGTTATTTTCCGTGGCATAGTGGATACGCCTTGGCGTTTGAAGCGATGAGTACAAGGTGCAAATCTCAGTGGGAACAACATCACTTGGGTGCAGGTACATCCAACTGACGAGTCCCAAACAGGGCGAAACGCGCATCCTGCATTCTTCTGCTAGCCAAAACCAACCATATTATCATAATTAACATTCAGGCAATATCGAGGCATCCGTATAGCAGCCCATATGCCAATAGAGGTGGAACAATTCGATCCAACAAAACAACGAAGAATAACAAGTATGTCAATAAATATTTCTGAACCGTTACCAATACCACACTAATGTTCATATTTAGGATATTAGATATCATCTACACTCTTTCAAAACACTAAATGTTATACTTTGCTATTCTCGAAAGTGTTTCGAATATGAAGCACTAAAGCCTTATCACGCATTTTCCATTCTTCATTATGTTACACCTCGTTCTCTATGTTAACTAACAGGTGTGTGTCGGTGTGACAGATGTGGAAATATCGGATCAAATGATATATCAACTGTACTTCTGTGCATGTGGTTTAAGGTTAAAGCTGCCAATAACTATGAACTTTGTCATCTTAGGTGTCTCTATGTAAGGATCATGCTACTTCAAATAGCCATTTGTTGACATAAGAAAGGTTAGTTTCGAGTAGTTGGTATCAGCAGAGCAACTCATCAGTTGCAGTGAGCTAATTACATTTGTTTTTATTGTGAACCATTGGAATTAGTGTTGTGTTATCGGGTTTTAACGTACCATATGATGAAACTCAGACTACATTCAGCTTTGATCATGAAATGAAATTAAGTAGTATGGTATCGTTATTTTTAGTGTAGACGAATTATTCTAGTTTATGTGAGCAACATCACTATTGGTTATTTGATAACACAGGAAAAGTGTGCCTCACGAGTAAACTGATTTTGAGCATTTCTTCCATAAGAAAGAAGGTGATATTATGTTTATCTTGATGACTAGCACAGGAGTACAGGACACGCTTTTCCTCCTATTTGGGAATCGTCAGCTAAATGTACCTGCGTTACATTCAGTGATATCACTTCCACTGAGACTAAAGCTCAACACCCATCGCTTCAAACGTCGAGGCGTTATCCACTAGGCCACTAGGCCACTGGAGCATGAGAACCACAACTGGTATAACATCGGGAAATTGCAATTACCTAACCAAAACAAATGATACCCATTGGAAAAGTGGTGACTCTCGTGCCTGAGTGATCTTGTGAATGACACCTTAGCATATGAAGTGACTGGTACTGGGTTCGAATCACAGTGAGAACAATTTCACTCACTTTGGTGGAGGTGTATACCCAGCTGACAAGTGCCTAGTAGGAAGAAACGTGTATCCTGGATTCCTCTGAGAGTCACCAAAGTGAATACAACATAGTGAATATCCGGGGTATCGAGGAGTCCTATACGGATGCCATCTACCAACAGAGGTGGAGCAATTCGGCCCTGTATGGCAGTGGGAAATTACAAGCATAAAAATCATATCTAACTCTCAAGGTCACTTGTTTACTTGCATATCAGATGAGTCAACAATGCACTTCAGTCCGATACTCCTATCAAACTGTTTCTTTTCCTGAGATCATTTTCTAGAGATGTTGAGGAATAATGATTCTGTTTGAACACGTGGGGGGATAGGATGCTGTGGTTGGTAATAAAGCACACCTGTCACCTATTGGTAACCATTATACGAAGAAGGAACATTCAGCAATGATAGAAATCAATACTGAGATTGATTGAAAGCAATTGTTTAATTACTTATTCCCAAGTCTACTACATCGTCTTGTTCGAATAATGAATACACTTGGAAAATAATTTTTCTATCATAATTCTGCTTTTAGTTAGTATTGCATTTTTCAAATCCTTCAAGGTTGTTCCACCTCTTTCTAGACACTTTAGACTCTCACATACAGCTAATTGGCTTTTTTCAGTAGTTTACTGAACCACTTTCGTCACACCAAATGGAATGTGATTGGTTAATGACGCTGGAAAGTGAGTCCCAGTAAAATTATTCTGTCTGATATTGTCAATCAAACACTTCAGTAATGATGAAATAATTCCCCTGTGACAAAAACAGTCAGATATGTATCAGTATGTCATGTGTATGTGTATGTGTATGTAGAAGTTGAGGAAATAATATAAGTGAATGAACATATACTCTGTGAACTATGAATAAGTGAAATAAGAAAGTGATAGTTAACAAACAAGGTGAAATTACAAGATAGTTTAAATGAGAATAACAATTCACATTCCAGTGTTCCTTGATGAATTTCAAAGACAACAGAATTTTCGCTTCTCTCCTCTTCTCTCCTCTCCTCTTCCCTCTCCTAAATCTATTTCTCTCTCGTCTTCTGTGTTGATTGTGAAACTAATTCCAATGGAGCTTTTCTTTTCCTTTCTCAAGAAATCGAAATGAATCTAGAACGGAAACCTAGTCAAGATGTCAGTTGTAATAAATTCATTTTCAGTGTTCTTTTCGCTTCATAGAAAGAAAATCTATTTTGTTTTCCCTTTTCACCTCTCCTCTCTCCTTAACTATCAGCCATCAATTCACCAATCTATCCATCTAGAATAGTTCATGGCATTGATTAAAATGAAAAAGCTTTTCCCCATTTTTTTTATTGAAGCAACGTACTTTCTGTGTCATATTGACAACCAATTAATTTTTACGCTTCAATTATTTAAAAATAGGTTAACATGGTTGAAATGATTTTCTATTCTCGTTGGTTGGTTTAAGTGTGAGTTGTCTTAGTCAAGTTAAATTCAATCTGGTTTGTACTAATTGTCTTAGCAACTTGCAGAAACTTTACAGTATTAAATACATCGAGTGAGTGACATGAGAAGACGTCGAGTAAGAAGTTGTTCTTATCCGGAATGTGTTCTGTAGATAAGACATGATTTACTAAGTTATTAGTAAATGCAACACAAAGCACACTCACTTTTGCCTTGAGGCTAATTAATTAATTAATTATCACTGAAATGATTGTTGACATCACTGCAGTAGTCCAGTCAGTGATGCAGCCTATGAAGCCTATGAAGCAGGAAAAGGGCCAACAAACTGAAGTCTGTCTTATCAATGAAAATAATGTTCCTTGAATTGGAGGAAATGGTGCTTCTATC